GGATTTTGGCTGAACAGTAAAGGAAGGAATATCAGGACAGTAAAGAACCTTTATGGCCGTGACAACACTGACCAGCAGTCGACAGAACATTCAGATGAAAAAGATCTATACAGTTCGAAGGCAGTGTTTGGGGAGTGAAATATTAAAGTCGAATACTGAAGCCGTCAAGTCATGTGTGTGTGCTTGCCCCTTTTGTGGGTGACTCTCTCGCTGGCGAGCGCCAACGCTTTGGCTGGGTTCACGTTCGCAATCGTGCGGCCCTCAATCTGAACATAATGAAACCCTGCTGGGCTGGGAAGGGCTCAGCAGCAATGAGGCCATGGAGCTCTCTATCGGCTTTCTCATTCATCTCACTGGGACGCCTTCCTCTTCTGCTTTAAGTTCTCTCCATTGCCCTCTAATTTACACTACTCTCTCCTTCTCCTTTCTCATCCCTCTCCATCGTTTCATCTCCATCTTTTCTTTCTCTCACTTCCCGGCCTGAATAAAACGCTTTTTTGTCTTCTTTTCCTCACCACCACCCCCCTCTTCTCCCTCCCTCCCATCAATAGCATGAAAATAGTTTTCTATGTCAAGTTGAGCCCTCATTCGTAGAATACCCCCCCCCCCATTCTACTCCCCATCTATCTTTCAAAATCCTCCAGTCATCACCACTGCCCACTGCCCGGAAATATGTCAAGGCTGTTCAGCCAATAAAAGATGGGGGGAGAAAAACAAGGACAAGAGTATGTTGTCAACATTCCCTCCTCAGAAAGAATGGAAAGCATTCTGCTCTACTTCCTTCGATAATTAAAAAAGGCACGGCGCAGGGGGTGGGGCGTGGCTTTGACACGCAATGCTGAAGCTGTTTAGCAGTCCCCACACAGGGATCACCTTCATCCTTCTTATTGATTAATATCATGGAGTGCGATTACATCGAGTAGCCAATTCAAAACTGATTCTGTTCCCTTTGGTTGTTTATAAGTTTACTTGATCTATTTATTAGCTGATCATTGGTTTTGGTATTGTTTATTTATATTCAAATTTATATTTATTCCGTTCATCTCCATCCAAAAAACATGCAAAAACAACTGTAAGTGCCATATTTTTGAGTGTATTTGAATAAACTTGGGGCAACGGCAAGGCGGTAAAATTAAAGGAATAATTGAAAGTGATGGTGTGAAATAATTACTGAAAAAAATTACAAATTTAAGGACAAAAGGTTAAATACTTGGAATGTTAAGGGGGGAAAGAACATAATTAATTTGGTTATATTGGAGTTCGTTCCGGCTGAGGGTGTTCCAGGACACGTGGGGGAAGACCCTGGGACAGTATGTGCTTTTACGCCGCAACCTAATTTCATTAGCGTTCGATTCAAAGATCAGTGTTGACAGTTTCCTTTCAAGCAACAAATATTTATCATAATTGTCTGAAATGAACTGTTCGTTGGTAAAATTTGAGGAATTATTTATAATGGGGTTTACCGCTAGCAGACCAGGAACCGAAAACTGTAAATGAACTGTTCCTATGTGGTGAATGCTTTGGTCTGGTGGTTCGTGTGTGTTGTGTGTGTGTGGATGTGGTGTGTGTGGTGTTGTGTGGTGTGTCCCAAACTTGACTGTGTGTTGTCCCGATGCAAGAGCGACGTATCTCAGTTGCAGGGCAGCAGGCTGTAATTCTGGATGTATCCTTTTATGAGAGCAATGGCCTCGGTGGACGTGGGATTATGGGACGCGTGAGTTGGGGCGCAAGGACTTGGGCCCCGATCCTGGGGTCATTGAGAAAGGGCAGTTTTATGTTGGCGATGCTCTGTAAACGAGGACAGATTGTGGATCGTGATTGGCCAGTGGTGGCGTGGTGGGTGACGAGCAGCAGTAATCCCTGTAAAAGGCACGCGGGTTACAGATGCCTCAGCAGCACTGATGCTCTCGCGTTGTGGCTCGGGTGGTAGTTCAGTGCATGCCGCGCCCCCGATGCAAAGAGCAGCAACAGTGGAAGTTAGAGGACAGACCAAGTGGAGCCAGAGGTAGGCGCAGTTCATTTTGCCACTCTAAAACTAGAACGTGCAACATTAACGTATCTTCGCTGGTTTTACTTGTGAAAAGTCAATAAGAGTTTTAATGCAGGAGGGGAGGCTATTGTCCTGGTTCCGAAGTAAAAAGTCCTCAGAATTTTTCAGACCATTTTAAGGTGACCGCAGTAGGGAAGAACTTTGCGTGCATGTGAGGGCATGAAAGCTCTTCTTGTAGCTCATCAGGTTCAAAAGTTTACCATTCTACTATGCCTTCTAATTACTATGGGGGAGAAAACTGTTGTGTTTCTAATTAGGAACTAGCAAAGTACACTTTTGCGCCTTTTAAAAATGTAGCTCTAGTCTAATGTGTTTTTTTATACGTATGTAAATGTACTGCTTTTATATTTTGTTTTGCTGATTTGATGTTCCTTGTATGTTACAGTGTTCTTTTGGGAGTATTTAGGAAAGCGCTTTTAAATAAAAATCGTACTATTATTATTATAGGTATTATGTACACTTATGGTAGTGTATTTCTGGTATCTGTTTGCAAACCAAGACTAAATTTAATCTGTATTTTGTGTCGGTGTCTTGCTTTCTGAAACAGGGGGAGGGGTTAAAACTGGAATTGGTGAAACCTTATTGGGGAATTCTTCATTTGTGTTTGTTCTTTGTCGGCTTTTGGATTTGCCTGTTTATCGATTACGTGACAGCCGAAGCATAGACAGGAAAAGGGTAGAAAGAAGGGGCATGGACAAAGCGAGCGAACAGGGCCACAGCGGTCAGGAGTCGAAACCCTTTGGCCACTGCAGCCGAACTCAGAGTGATTGTATGGCGTTCACCACTGCTTGAGCAACTGAGCTAACTGAGGCGCCCTGAAAAGTGTTCATTTTAAGCGTAAAAAAAGACGTTCTTGATATTTTGGAGTTGAAAGTTGGTCTAACATTGTTATGTAGACATTTTTTAAGCAGAAGAATTAGTTTTAGATTAAAGTTACAAGATTACAAGTACGGATTTCAGAAAATGTTTCACTCCGTGATGGTATCGGGGTGTAAGCCAGGATGACTCCGTTTCAGCTGAGAAACATAGCTCCAACCGCCTGATAGGAGAGCGATGGACTTGGTTGGTGAAAATGACCATTTGAGAAAGAAAAGGTAGTTCCGGACAAAAAGAACCGCAAGCAGCTGTTTTGCGCACTAGAGCCAGCCTGTTTACAAAAACTGCTTGCCGGTGCATGCCGGCTGTGTGACACATTCAATTCCAGCGTTGCACCTCCATGTTCGAAACAGCAAGTCGTGGTTCAATCTCACGCCCTCGCAAACATGAACTTAAAGCTATGAAAAGAACAATCGTGAGGTTGGGCAAGGTGAATGCTGGCACTGGCATGCAATTTTACAGTGCCAAGGAGCCTTGTAGCGGACAGGTTGTGGTACCGTGTTTTATGTGCCCTGCGACGTTCACTGTTCGTTGATGCTAGAGGTGTCATAACGGACAGAAATTGACAAGGCTGATCCAGAATGGTCAATACCATCTTAAATCTAGTGCGTTTGACTCAACTGGGTTTTGACACCACAGACTCTCCTCTGTGTGCGTGTGGGTGTGTGGTGTGTGTGTGTGTGTGTGGTGGGGGTTCTGGGTGTCACTATGGTGAGGAATGCAGGCAAAATCCAATATGGCATGTGGTGGGAGAGAGAGAGAGACAAGGACCTTCTTGATTGGCCTTGGTGTGCCATTAACAGACACTGGCACTCACACACACTCTTGCACGCACACACTATGGGAACCAGGTCAAGCATGGGCTGGGTATGACCAGGGAGATGAGATCATCGACAACTGGTGCAGCTACTGTAGTCAACACCATACAGTATTGTGTGTGTGTGTGTGTATGTGGTGTGTGGTGTGTGTGGTTGTGTGTGTGTGTGTGAATCTCACATACTGAGTCAAACTGAGCTGTGCTCCACTTGGTTGTTATTCAGTGTTACTGATGGATTTAACACATCAAACTGCTGTCAGTGCCCTTCACCTCTCAGCCATAAGCCTGGGACAGTGGAAACCCAATCCACCCATATTCTACAACACAATCTGTGTGTGTGCATGC